GGACGTGGCTTCGGTGGTGCTGGACGCGGTGCAAAGAAAGACGACGACTCCAACGACCAACAAGGAGGTACCGGTTGGGGTCGCGGTGCGAAATCTGGACGTGGGGGCAAGTCGGGTGCTGGTGGCAAAATGAAAGGGAGTTGCTGGTATTGTGAGAAGGAAGGGCACCCCTGGTTTTTGTGCTATAAGAAACCCGATGGATGGACCCCCCAGAATCGTCACCAGGATGGCGGCGCGCGGAGGAACCAGAAAAACGGCGCCAACATGGTCGCTGATTCGTCCGACAACAACCCGAAGGGCAACGGCGGTGCGGAGAAGAAGAAGGAGCGCACCGCGGGCCAATTCTTCCATATGGGAGACAAGGGGGAGCAAGGAGACGCATCTGCTAAGGCTGGAGCAGAGCTGCACCCCCTGGACTATTGGGTGTTGGACACAGGCACTGCTTGGACAATGACGCCGCGCAAGGACCTGCTGGACGACGTACGCGCTGCACCGATTAATGAGGTGTGCTCTGCCTCTGGACACATGTTGAAGGTGGCTGGTGCGGGACGAGCTGCATTTAAGGGAGCGGATGGCAAGCCGGTGGTGCTGCACGACGTTCTCCTCGTCCCCGACCTGAAGGCCAACCTCATCTCCCTCCGTAAGCTTGGCAAGGCTGGGGTGAACACCAACACGGATGGGGCTCGCACTTATAAGGGGAAGCTGGGCAATCGGGTGCTTTGGGATCTGCACGAGAGCAAGGACGTGTACAGATCTATGTGGCAGCTGCCGGCGCTGGCGTGGCACGGTGGGGGGCAGGCTGGAGAGGGGTCTGCATCCCAGGGGGAGTGCAACGCCGTTGGAGGGGTTGGTGTGAAAGTGTCGGCCAGATCTGGGGAGACAGATTGGGCAACTGCACACCGACGTTTGGGGCATGTGGCAATGCCTTTGCTGAAGCAGCTGGAGAAGGATGGAGCCGTTAAGGGCTTGAAGCTGAACGGACAACCACCCGATGATAACTGTGAAATTTGCCTCCTTTCAAAGTTCACCCGTTTCCCCTTCCATAGTGTGGCTGGCAGGAGCAAAAAGCCGTTGGAGCTGGTCCACATGGACTTGGTGGGGCCGCTGCCGGTGCAAGGGCACAAGGGGGAGCGGTACTTCTTAACCATAGTGGATGACTGGAGCAGGCTAATGTGGGCGTATCCGCTGAAGCAGAAAGATCACGCCGCCTCCACGATTCGGGACGATTGGCTGCCGTTCGTGGAGAAGCAAGCGGAGTGTGTGGTGAAGCGGATTAGGACAGATCGGGGTGGTGAGTTCCTTGGAGCTGAGATGACGGCCTGGCTCAAGAAGCAGGGCATCCAGAGGGAGCTGACCACGGCTTACACCCCACAGTCTAACGGTGTAGCAGAACGGGCGAACCGGACAATTCTGGAGACAGCTAGGGCGCTGCTCATAGAATCTGGGCTGGGCAACTCCATGTGGCCCCATGCTGTTCGGCACGCTACCGTCGCTAGGAACAGGGTACTCACAAAGGTTGGGGATGACTCGTGGGTGCCGTTGGAGAGGTGGCTTGGGAGGAAGCCGCCGGTGGACATGCTGAGGGTGTTCGGTTGCATGGCAGTCGCCCACGTTCCCAAGACCTATCGCAGTAAGTTGGGGGCGAGTGCAATCTGGTGTGTGCATTTGGGGCTGGCTGCTGAGAGCAAGGGATGGCTGTTGTGGGAGCCTTCCAAGGGTGTGTTGTTTGACAGCAGGGATGTGAAGTTTGTTGAGGGCATGATGTATGGGAGCTGGGAGAAACAGCCGGAGGCCAGGGTGTCCCAGCAGATGGAGCAGATCACCATGCAGCTGGACCTGACTCCTAGTGTGTGGGAGGAGGGAGAGGAGGCAGCTGCAGAGGGTGGTGATAAAGAGAAGGTGCAGGAGGCACCTGCTGGTGGAGGTGATGGTGTGGAGATTAGCGGTAGCACTAGTGGAGCTGCTGGATCCGAGGGAGGAGAGCAGCAGCAGGGGAAAACTAAGAAGCCGAAGGGTGTTATTATGAAGGGATGGGAGACACCCGTCTCCAGGCCAGGACGTACCCGTATGGCTACTAAAAAGCTGACTGCAGGAGCTGATGTAGCGGAGCAGCAGCTTGGGACCGAGGAGGCATTGCTGATTCTACCGCATGGCTATGACCCGGATGAGGAGGATCAACCTGCGTACTGTTTTCTTGCCCCTGCACCAGAGGAACCAGCTAGCATGGAGGAGGCATTAGCTGGACCAGATAGGGACAAATGGCTAGCTTCCAGGGATGCTGAGTACCAGAGCCTGCTAGAGAATGGGACTTGGGAACTAGTGGTGCTGCCTGAGGGAAAGAAAGCGGTACAATGCAAGTGGGTGCTAAGGATCAAGACTGACGACAAGGGGCAGGTCACCATCTACAAGAGTAGGTTGGTGGCTAAGGGGTTTATGCAGAAGGAGAAGCGGGACTTCAATGAGATCTTTGCTCCCACTGCCAAACCCCCTACCCTTCGTGTCTTGTTGGCAGATGCAGCCGTTAGTGGGAAGTTCATTATCCAGATGGACATATCAACGGCATTTCTCAACGGGATTTTAGAGGAGGAGGTGTTCATGACGCAGCCACCTGGGTATGAGGATGGTACGGGCAGGGTGTGCAAGCTGAAAAAGTCCATCTACGGCTTGAAGCAGGCGCCACGCTGCTGGTACCAGAAGTTGGCAGCTGTTTTAGAGGAGATGGGATTCAGGACCAGCAGCTGTGATGAGAGCCTCTTTCTCAAGGGGGAGGGGGAGAAGCTGGTGCTGTTTCTGGTCTATGTGGACGACATTCTTCTCTTTAGCAGCAGCATGAAGGAGATCCAGAAGGTGCAGCAGCAGCTGATGGAGAACTTCAAGTGCAAGAACCTTGGGGAGGTAAAGTACTACCTCGGGATGCACGTGGAGAGGGATCTGGATCACAGGTGGTTGAAGCTGCACCAGGAGAAGTTCATCAAGGAGCTTGGGGAGAAGTACGGAATTGAGAATGAGCGCAAGGTTGCAACTCCCCTGCCAGCAGAATTCAAGCTTGTGAAAGCTGCAGAGGATGAAGGGGTTGAAGCCGAGGAGCAGCAGCAATTTCAGTCCTTGGTGGGCAGCCTCTTGTATGTAGCAGTTCACACGAGACCCGACATCTCTTTCTCGGTTGGGCAGCTGGCTAGGGTAGTGCAGAATCCATCAGAGGAGCAGGTGGATGCAGCTGAGCGTGTGGTGAAGTATCTGAACTCTCACCCAAGCATTGGAGTTCAATACTCCGCATCTGCACAGGTGAAGCAGAAAGGGGTTGAGGTGCTGAAAGAGAAGGGGGAGAGGCTTGGAGAAGGCAAGCTTTTTCTCACTTGCTTTACTGATGCTACGTGGGCCTCTGAGAAGGAGGATTCCTCATCTGTGGGAGGATACATCTGCGTAGTTGGGGGAGGACCGGTTAGTTGGAGGTCAAAGAAGCAGACGGAGACAGCACTCTCTTCCGTGGAGTCAGAGTACATGACGATGTTCCATGGGGTGAAGGAGGTGATTTGGCTGAGGAGGCTGTTGGAGGAGATTGGCCAGGAGCAAAAGGTTGCTACGCCGCTGTTTTGTGATAGCAAGGGAGCTCTTGGGATGGCCAGGAACGCTGTGCTTCATGGGCTGAACAAGCACATGCGTATCAAGTGGCACTGGCTGCGTAAGGAGGTGAAGAGGGGGACGGTGAATCCGATCTACATCAAGACTCACCAGCAGCCAGCAGACTTCCTCACCAAGAGGCTTGCGGATGAGTCTCATTGGCGTTGTGTGCGCATGAGTGGAATGAGCATGAACTAGTATGGAATGATGGGGATGCAGCCGGCAGGCTGAGGGGGAGTGTGTTGGGTGCAAATTCACATTGCACGACATCCTGCCGTCTGTTTGTACGAGTATGCGTGTGCGAATGCATTTGCGTGTGAATGGTATGTTTGTGTGTTTGTTTGCTTTCGCAATTTTCGCTTGAAGCATTTGCAGGTACTCGCACAATGTGCGCTTCGGCATAACATTGTACGCGCTATGAACAGTACAAGCAGAAAGGACGAGCTCGCAAAGGAACCCAAGATGGAAGCTTTGCGGTTCAACTTACTTGATTGCGCAGATTCAGTTCTATCCAACTCGAAATTGTACTGTTTTGTTTGGTTGACTATAGTGTAGCAGGGCAGGCACTATAGGGGTACAATTTAGGTGAAGGTTGGATGTTGTTTGTCTGTATCTGCATGCTACAGGGCCAGGGGAAACCAGCGGAACCAGCATTTGGCTGGTTGGGCAAAGACAAAACAGGTTCTGTTTTTAGGACCTGAACCTGGTTGTTGTTTTCCCAGGTTGGAAAAACAGAACCAGAGGTTGTTCACCAACCTATCACCTGCTATTTTGTCCAGCCAGGTTGGTTCTGTTGCTTGGAATTATTTGGGATCATCCCTGGTTGTTCCCAGGTTGATTCCCAAGGTCCTTGCTAGCTAGAGCTATTTATTCCTTCTCTGTTTGTACCTGAATATAGTGAAATTGATTCAAGCGAATTCCTTCCTTGCTGGAATTTCTTTTCTACGCGGTGCGACGGCGGAATGCTACCCGAGTCAACGCTAGTACGCTAGCACTCCAACGCTAGGCTAACGCTGTCCGAGCCATAACTTCGTAATGGCAGAATTTTTCGCGAGGCAACTTGGCTTATTTTAAAGCTCTTAGAGTGAGCTTCGATATAGGAAATTCTCAGCTTAATCCGATCGACGGTCTGCACGATACGCTGCGCGACGTTCAAGGTACTCTTGCTGTTTTGACTAAGTCCCTCTTGATTCCTCTCTCTACAAACTCGGACCCGAGGATAGGGGCTGGTCTTGTACCAGGCACCCAAGGACCCTTGGAGGTGACCCCGAGGAGAGGTTTTAAGTGTGATAAAGTCTTAATAGCTTGAGTTTATTAGGTCATTACACCAACACTATACAGGGAAGGGAGTGGGTGGGGCTACGGGGTGCGGAGGGCGCATGGGGTGGCGCGGACGGGGTGAGAGTGGGGCATATGGTTCCGGTGGTAGAGTGTGTCGCACGGATGGGCTGCGGGGTTCCTACTGGGCGACGGGTTGCGGGCAGGTTGCGGGGTGCATACGGGGCGACGGGGTGCTGGCAGGTGACGGGGTGCATAAGGGGCGACGGGGTGTGGGCGTCGGGATGTGGGGCGTGTACGGGCTACAGGGCCTGGGCGTCGGGGCGTGGGCTGCTTATGGGGTACAGGGCACGGGCATCGGCCTACGGGGCGCGAGTGGTGCGACGTTGGGCTATGGGTGTGGGCGAGCTCGGGGCGTACGACCGGCTACGGGCGACGGGCGAGAATAGGCCGAGGTGTGGGGTTGTGGACCCATGGGAACGAACTTTCATAATTCCAACCACTAACCACCGGGATAAAATGGTTTATTTGTGTAGTGGGTGAGTGCGCACATAACCCCCAGGCCAACGTGCATGTAACCCTTCCCTAGGATTGATCAGGGATCTCCAAAGCGTTTAGACAAGTTGGAGAGGGAGGAGCGGGAGCGATTTGAGAGGGCACAGCAGCAGCAGCAGCAACAGTCTCAGTCGGAGCGTCAGGAGAGAGTAGAGGAGGAGTCACGATAGCAGCAGCAGCAACAACAACAACAGTCTCAGTCGGAGCGTTAGGAGAGAGTAGAGAAGGATTCACGGCAGCAGCAGCAGCAGTCTCAGTGGGAGCGTCACGAGAGAGTAGAGGAGGAGTCACGGTAGCAGCAGCAGCAGCAGTAGCACTAGCAGCAGCACTCTCAGTCGGAGCATCAGGAGAGAGTAGAGGAGGAGTCACGGCAGCAGGAGGAGAGAGCAGAGGAGGAGTCATGAGTGCAGCAGCAGGTTGAGTTGCAGTCGCACCAGGACAGCGTCGAGCAGGAGTCCCGCCCGCAGCAGCAGGGGCAGATACCGTCGCAGCAGACGCCAGAGGAGGCGGAGCGGCGGCAACGGCGACTGCGCGACTTGCCCGACCCAGCACTCACACGCTTGGCTTGTGGTCCCCTACCATCCCCTCCTTTCCCCCCGGTCCAATCCGTGTCCTCGTCCCAGTGGACTCGTCGTTCTCTCCTCAGTCGTGTTGTGTCTTCAGAGCCCCGTTGGTCTCGTTACCGTGGAGACGGTCCGTTTCACCTTGTTCTCCGATCTCGTGTTCCATCTCCTCCAGTCCTTCCACAGGGGACACGAACAGGGGGTAGACTCAGGACCAGACCTGGACGCTGCAGCAAGCACCTGACCCGTGTTGGTGTAAGGGCCTAATAAACTCAAGCTATTAAGACTTTATCACACTTAAAACCTCTCCTCGGGGTCACCTACAAGGGTCCTTGGGTGCCTGGTACAAGACCAGCCCCTATCCTCGGGTCCGAGTTTGTAGAGAGAGGGATCAAGAGGGACTTAGTCAAAACAGCAAGAGTACCTTGAACGTCGCGCAGCGTATCGTGCAGACCGTCGATCGGATTAAGCTGAGAATTTCCTATATCGAAGCTCACTCTAAGAGCTTTAAAATAAGCCAAGTTGCCTCGCGAAAAGTTCTGCCATTACGAAGTTATGGCTCGGACAGCGTTAGCCTAGCGTTGGAGTGCTAGCGTACTAGCGTTGACTCGGGTAGCATTCCGCCGTCGCACCGCGTGGATAAGAAATTCCAGCAAGGAAGGAATTCGCTTGAATCAATTTCACTATATTCAGGTACAAACAGAGAAGGAATAAATAGCTCTAGCTAGCAAGGACCTTGGGAATCAACCTGGGAACAACCAGGGATGATCCCAAATAATTCCAAGCAACAGAACCAACCTGGCTGGACAAAATAGCAGGTGATAGGTTGGTGAACAACCTCTGGTTCTGTTTTTCCAACCTGGGAAAACAACAACCAGGTTCAGGTCCTAAAAACAGAACCTGTTTTGTCTTTGCCCAACCAGCCAAATGCTGGTTCCGCTGGTTTCCCCTGGCCCTGTAGCATGCAGATACAGACAAACAACATCCAACCTTCACCTAAATTGTACCCCTATAGTGCCTGCCCTGCTACACTATAGTCAACCAAACAAAACAGTACAATTTCGAGTTGGATAGAACTGAATCTGCGCAATCAAGTAAGTTGAACCGCAAAGCTTCCATCTTGGGTTCCTTTGCGAGCTCGTCCTTTCTGCTTGTACTGTTCATAGCGCGTACAATGTTATGCCGAAGCGCACATTGTGCGAGTACCTGCAAATGCTTCAAGCGAAAATTGCGAAAACAAACAAACACACAAACATACCATTCACACGCAAATGCATTCGCACACGCATACTCGTACAAACAGACGGCAGGATGTCGTGCAATGTGAATTTGCACCCAACAACCCGACGCAGTGACCCGACCAGACTCAACAACTGGAGGAGACGGAGTGGTCAGTGTGTAAAGTCTCGACCCCGGCCGACGGGTAAACGTAGCCAGGTGTCGGCCTGTGCTAGCCTCTGTGCAGTGCGTCACCCGCTGACGCGCAGGAGTGAACTGGTGTACTCCCCCATCCTGTAGGTCAGCACCACTCACCAGGTTCGTAGAGAACGAGGGGAGGTTGAGACCAGACAGGGTGCCAGAGGGAGCCGGTGGACACGGAAGAACTATAGAGAAGTGAGACAGGACAGGACCCCCAGAGGGGTCAGCCAGAGACACCGTAACTGGCCGACTAAGCGGCGTGAATGTGGTGCGGTCCCGAAAGAAGGAGCGAGAAGCCCCAGAGTCAAGGGTGAAGGTGAGGGAGGCCGAAGCCGATGTAGTACCTGAGAGTGTAGACTCACCAGTACCTGAGGACGCAGACGCACTAGCACCAAGAGCAGCAGCGTCGCAAGCACCTAGGGCAGCCGCCTCACCAGTACCTAGAGCAGCAGTCTCAATGCCCGGATCGGGCGGGAAACATTGGTAACACTCACCCTCATCACTAATAGACACAGCATACATGGCAGAAAGGATAGCATCGAAATCAAGATCATAGATGGCAACGCCCGCCCTAGACAGCTCGCCCCAGCGAGGGATCTCTGTGGCCTCCGGGAACTAGTGACGCCACGCGTCCGCCAGGCGGCCAAAGCAGCGCTGGGTGGGGTGCGCACCCCCACACTGCTCACCCGCACGGTCGCCGGTGCGTAGGACGTAGGTGCACGGACCAAAACCCCCACCCCGCTGGCGTGCAGTGTACCACTCACGGAGCTGCTGAGGTGACAGGGTCTCACGACCGCGCTGCTGCTGCTGGCGCGGACCACCACCGGAGCCACTTCTCTGCGTAGACCCGCGACCAGCTCCACCGCCACCCCCGCCGCCTCCGCCGCCTACGCCGCCTCCGCTACTACCGCCGCCTCCGCCACCTCCGCTCCCACCGCCACCGCCGCCGCCGCCTCCGCCTCCACTGCCGCCACCGACACCTCCACCCCCACCACCACTCCCACCGCCACCCCCAGTCCCCCTGCCGCCTCCACCTCCACCTCCACCGCCCCCGCTCGCCCCTCCAGTGCCACTGCCCCCCTTGCCCTTGCCAGAGCGGCGTCTCCGGCTAGGGGCAGACGCCGCACCGACCGACTCAAGACCAAGGAGGTCGGCCGCAGCAGCAGAGGCAACAGAGGGCAAAAGGGGGGAGGGGGAACACCCCTCAAAGATGGGGGTGCGCGGGTCACCAAGAGAGGCCCCTACAGCGACTATGCTCTTCTCGGCCGCTAGGAGGGACTTCTCGAGGAGGTCAACAATGAGAGTGGTGGGACAGACTGAGAGGAAGTGGTCCCTGACTAGTGACTATGTAGTAGAGAGTGATGTACATGGGAGGGGGGGGGTGTTCTTGGCGCAGAAGTCAGCAGGAAGCGCAGCGCGGTAGCGAGTGTCACTAGTGCGGAGGTGCGTAATGAGGTCAGCGACTGTGGGAAAGGCAGTAAGGTCAGGGAAGAGGTACGGTAGCATGAGACAGCTCAGTGCAGCAGTGGCAGGGGAGGAGTAGCGCACAACTACAGCGTTGTACAAGGTCTGAGCACTCTTGTACTGACTAAAGTGCGCACGCTCAGTGGTAGGCAGGTGGCGACGCACAGCAAGACGTGCAGCAGCGTCGCGGGTGGCCCACTGGGAACGAACAGTGGCGTCAGCGTCAACAGCAGGGGCAGGGGAGGCGCAAGAGGTGAGGTCAAAGAGGGAGAGACCGTCTGCCCTATCGCACTGGAGGAAAAGCTGCAGGACATCTACCCAGACCTCAAAGTCAATGGCCCGACCCTCAGCGTCAAAAGCAAGAACACTGGGGGTAGCCATGACAGCAGTAGACTAGCAGCACTAACTGTAGGACAGGGGCAGTGTAGTGACAGAAGCGCTGCTCTCACCAGACAGGGTGGTTCGGGCAGCTCAGCAGCACAGCAGCTCGGCAACACGGCGGCTCGGGTGACTCGGACGGCTCAGTAGCAACTGCGGCTCTGCGGCACCAGCGGCTCGGCTCCTCAGCGGCTCGGCTCCTCAGCGGCTCAAGCGGCTCGGGCGGCTCGGGCGGCTCGGGCGGCTCGGGCGGCTCGGGCGGAACGGGCGGCTCGGGCAGAACGGGCGGCTCCGGCTGCTTGGCGGTGCGGGCGGCTCGGTGGTGTAGGGCGGCAGGGCCGCTGGTAGGGCGGCAGGGCCGCTGGTAGGGCGGCGGGGCCGCAAGGTAGGTGGCGGGGCCGCAGCAGGAGGGGCGGTGGGGCCGCAGCGAGAGGGGCGGCGGGGCTGCAGCGAAGGGCGGCGGGGCCGTAGAGAAGGGCGGCGGGGCCACAGCGAAGGGCGGTGGGGCCGCAGTGAAGGGCGGCGGGGCCGCAACGACGGGTGGCGGGGCCGCAGCGAAGGGCGGCGGGGCCGCAGTGAAGGGCGGCGGGGCCGCAGCGAAGGGCGGCGGGGCCGCAGTGAAGGGCGGCGGGGCCGCAACGACGGGCGGCGGGGCCGCAGCGAAGGGCGGCGGGGCCGCAGTGAAGGGCGGCGGGGCCGCAACGACGGGCGGCGGGGCCGCAGCGAAGGGCGGCGGGGCCGTAGTGAAGGGCGGCGGGGCCGCAGCGAAGGGCGGTGGGGGGCCGCAGCGAAATGCGGCGGGGCCGCAGGGAAGGTCGGCGGGGCCACAGCGAAGGGTGGCGGGGCCGCAGTGAAGGGCGGCGGGGCCGTAGGGCTAGGCGACGGGGTCGTAGGGCTAGGTGACGGGGCCGCTAGGGCGATGGGGCCGCTAGGGCGGCGCGACGAGATGAGAGAGAGGAGCGCGACTCGGGCTGAGTGCGCTCCGGGCAGAAAAAAAAAGGTTTCGACTTGGTGGGCCCTAGGAACAGTTTCCACTAGGGAACCTACTCTGATACTATGAGAAAACTGAAACGAGAATGATTGAACTATGGAACAGTTGGGTACAAGTACTAACCCTCATTGGGTTGTACCCCTTATGGGCTACCCCACTACAGCCTACACAAATGTATAAGCTATAATGTTCTAACAAGTGCAACGCGTCAGGAGCCGCCCGTCGTAGATGAAGTGAGAGTCGCTCATCGATCAACGAGGCCGTACTCAGCTAGCTACAGGGCTCCCTGGATGCTTAAGATGAATGGCGATTGTGGCAGCAACAGGCGCAAGGGGCGCCAAAACAACAGCAACAGTCCCAAGTGGCGCCGAGACAACAGTCGCAAATAATGCCAAGGCGGGCACCAGCGACACCTCCGGTGATGGCTTCGAGAGCACCGACGATACATGCAGCAGCAGTAGTTGTCAGAATGCTATATAGCTTATACATTTGTGTAGGCTATAGTGGGGTATCCCATAGGGGGTACAACCCAATTAGGGTTAGTACTTGTACTCACTCATTTCATAGTTGATCCATTCTCTCGTTCTCATTCTCACATGGAATCAGAGCAGGTCCCCTCCTAGGGATTGTTCCTAGGGCCCACCGAAGCGCGCCTCGAGTCGCGCTCTCCCCTTTGTTTTTCCTAGCGGCCTGACGTGCCGCCCTTACGGTCGCGTCGAGCCGCCCTAGTGGCCCCGCCGCCCTACTTAGCGGCCCCGCCGCCCTACCTCGCGGCCTCGCCGCCCCATTGCGCGGCCCCGCCGCCCTACCTAGCGGCCCCGCCGCCCTTACTCGCGGCCCCGCCCCCCCCCCCATCGCGTGGCCCCGCCGCCCCATCGCGGCCCCGCTGCCCCATCGCGCGGTCCCGCCGCCCTACCTAGCGGCCCCGCCGCCCTTCCGCGCGGCCCCGCCGCCCCATCGCGCGGCCCCACCGCCCTACCTAGCGGCCCCGCCGCCCTTCCTCGCGGCCCCGCCGCCCCATCGCGCGGCCCCGCCACTCTACCTCGCGGCCCCGCCGCCCTACCTCGCGGCCCCGCCACTCTACCATGCGGCCCCGCCGCCCTATCTCGCGGCCCCACCGCCCTACCCAGCGGCCCCGTCGCCCTTCTGCAGCGGCCCCGCCGCTCCTCTGTGTTGGGTGCAAATTCACATTGCACGACATCCTGCCGTCTGTTTGTACGAGTATGCGTGTGCGAATGCATTTGCGTGTGAATGGTATGTTTGTGTGTTTGTTTGCTTTCGCAATTTTCGCTTGAAGCATTTGCAGGTACTCGCAAAATGTGCGCTTCGGCATAACATTGTACGCGCTATGAACAGTACAAGCAGAAAGGACGAGCTCGCAAAGGAACCCAAGATGGAAGCTTTGCGGTTCGGCTTACTTGATTGCGCAGATTCAGTTCTATCCAACTCGAAATTGTACTGTTTTGTTTGGTTGACTATAGTGTAGCAGGGCAGGCACTATAGGGGTACAATTTAGGTGAAGGTTGGATGTTGTTTGTCTGTATCTGCATGCTACAGGGCCAGGGGAAACCAGCGGAACCAGCATTTGGCTGGTTGGGCAAAGACAAAACAGGTTCTGTTTTTAGGACCTGAACCTGGTTGTTGTTTTCCCAGGTTGGAAAAACAGAACCAAAGGTTGTTCACCAACCTATCACCTGCTATTTTGTCCAGCCAGGTTGGTTCTGTTGCTTGGAATTATTTGGGATCATCCCTGGTTGTTCCCAGGTTGATTCCCAAGGTCCTTGCTAGCTAGAGCTATTTATTCCTTCTCTGTTTGTACCTGAACATAGTGATTGATTCAAGCGAATTCCTTCCTTGCTGGAATTTCTTTTCTACGCGGTGCGACGGCGGAATGCTACCCGAGTCAACGCTAGTACGCTAGCACTCCAACGCTAGGCTAACGCTGTCCGAGCCATAACTTCGTAATGGCAGAACTTTTCGCGAGGCAACTTGGCTTATTTTAAAGCTCTTAGAGTGAGCTTCGATATAGGAAATTCTCAGCTTAATCCGATCGGCGGTCTGCACGATACGCTGCGCGACGTTCAAGGTACTCTTGCTGTTTTGACTAAGTCCCTCTTGATCCCTCTCTCTACAAACTCGGACCCGAGGATAGGGGCTGGTCTTGTACCAGGCACCCAAGGACCCTTGGAGGTGACCCCGAGGAGAGGTTTTAAGTGTGATAAAGTCTTAATAGCTTGAGTTTATTAGGCCCTTACACCAACAAGCTGGTATCAGAGCTGCGTTATAGTGATCCTCGATATAGGTAGCTATGGCGGGCAACACCTCGGCGGTAGCTGGTGAATCTTCAGCCCAAGATCGTAGCGGCAGCCATGATTCTGGTGTTTCTGCGCCAAGGGGAGCGCGAACAAGCCAGGGCTCGCTGATCAAGGAGGTGCTGAAAAACTTCACCGTCGAGAAGTTCAATGGTGAGGGCTATGATGATTGGGCCTGGAAAATGCAACTTTATTTCCGTCAAATCGGATTGCTGAAACTAATGATTGGGGAGGAGCCTAGACCGAGTGACCCCGCCCTTCAGGAAGATTGGGACGAGCGCGCCTCGGCTGGCTACTACTTGATGTCGCAGAGTTTGGAGCTGAACCAGCGTCACCACGTCATGCACCTGCTGCCGGAGGTTGAGTGCGGTCCAAAGGCGTGGACCGTGTTGAAGGAGCTGCACGCCCCGACCTCCGTTGTTGCAACATTGATGCTGGAGAGGGAGCTGTCCGCGTTGCGCCTGAGCGAGGGAGAGCCGGTGCAACCTGTCCTGGACAAATTGCGCGACCTCTACGCGAAGTTGGCGACCGCAGGAATCACCTACCCGGAGCAAACAAAGTGCTTGAAGATGATCTCGCTGCTGCCGGAATCGTGGCTTCAATTTACGAGCGGATTGAGCCTGCCGCAGAACCAGAGCTTGTGGACGCTCGAGTGGGTGCGGACGAAGATTCTGGAGGAGGACTTCCGTCGCCGCCAACTGAGGGATGGAGACGACGGCAGCAGCGGCTACGGGATGCAAGGGAGCCGACGTGGCAAAGGACGTGGCTTCGGTGGTGCTGGACGCGGTGCAAAGAAAGACGACGACTCCAACGACCAACAAGGAGGTACCGGTTGGGGTCGCGGTGCAAAATCTGGACGTGGGGGCAAGTCGGGTGCTGGTGGCAAAATGAAAGGGAGTTGCTGGTATTGTGAGAAGGAAGGGCACCCCTGGTTTTTGTGCTATAAGAAACCCGATGGATGGACCCC